TTTAAATGACAACTACCAACCTCATCAAAAAAGGCTTTTCCTGGATTACTTGAATCATTTAAACTTTTTAATACTACCATTTGATCTCCAAAACAACTAAATTCCTTTTTATTTTCGTCATAATCAATAATAGTTCCCCTTGTCCATGTTGCAGTATAAATTGAACTAAACCCGCCTTCAGTTAACTTTGTTACTTCTTCAAATTGCTCAAAAGGTATCCATTCTAAAATATAGCGTGGCAGAGATGATTTCATTTGACATTGCTGAATAAAATCATCAATTATGTTATTTCCAGATGTCCAAGTGGTGAAAAGACTCTGTAATTGTAATCTAATACAACCTTCACAGAACCTATCAGAGTATTTTGTCAATTTACACTTGTTGCATCCTTTTGGTTTGCCTTTTTTATTCACTGCATTATCTAATTCAAACTCATAAATAAACCTTTCTTTACAATATTCTTTTTCATTTTCAGAAAGCTCCTCGTTTTTTTTGACTAATGAAAAAAAATAATCTTTAATGAGTCTTCTTTATATAACAGAATGTTTACCATGCATTCAAATTTGGGTAAAATTGTTAGGAAAGCATATAAAAAGAAAATATTACACAAATAATGACATTTAGAAAGTAACACAGCAACATTCTTTTTTTGTATGTTAATATTAATATTAAAGAAAAGTCGAATTTTATATATTATATTTTTGTATAATGTCATATGCTAAACTATTATCATCATTATCACAAGAAAGAGAGGATTTTGTACATAAAATTTATGGTGAAATACTTAATAACACTAATGTTAATTCTGATAAAGAAAGTAGAAAAGATTATTTATTTTCACTGGTCAAAAAAATCAAGGAGCTTTCTGAAAATGAAAAAAAAATATTGTAAGGAAAGGTTTTTTTATAATTTTGAATTAGTGAATGCAAGGGATAAATTGGGAAAACCAAAAGAATGTAACAAGTGTAAATTGACAAGATACTCTGATAAGTTCTGTGAAGGTTGTATTAGTTTACAATTACAGAGTCTTTTCACCACTTGGACATCTGGAAATAACATAATTGATAATTTTATTAAACAATGTCAAATGAAATCATCTCTGCCAGGATATATTTTAGAATGGATACCTTTTGAGCAATTTGAATATATAACAAAGTTGATGGAAGGTGGATTTAGTTCGATTTATACTGCTACATGGACAAGAGGAAGTATTGGTGATTACAATGAAAATAAAAAGGAATTTAGTTATATCGGAGCACAAAATGTAGTATTAAAAAGTTTAAATGATTCGAGTAATCCAGGAAAAGACTTTTTTGATGAGGTTGGTAGTTTTCATTTAAAAAATAAACAATGCTTTATTATATAATACTAATTGGTTTTATATTCAATAGGCAATGAATTACTGTAAGATTAAATCAGGGTTGATTGTTAAGTGCTATGGTATAACTAAATTCCCAAATAATGGAAATTATGTAATTGTTTTAAATTATCATTTGGAAGGAAATTTAAGGGATTATTTACAAAATAATCATTTAACATTAAAAGATAGAATTGCAATCTTTTATTATTTATGTTATGCATTATATCAGATACATTGGCAAGATTTAATCCATTGTAATTTACATAGTGGTAATATATTATTGCAAGGAGGTAATTGTTATATAACAGATTTGGGATTATGTGGACCAGTTGATGATGAATCATCAAATAAAGTCTATGGGATTGTATCATATGTTGCACCTGAGCTACTTAGAGGCAAAAATGATACAAAGAACACAAAAGGAACAGATATCTATAGTGTTGGGATGCTAATGTGGGAAATATTTGCAGGTCATCCACCATTTGATGATAGAGCTCACAATCATCGTTTGATTTTTGATATATGTGAAGGTTTACGACCACCATTATTACCTGAAATGCCTGGTGATTATGTGCAAATGATGCAGAGGTGTTGAGATGTGGATCCATCAAAAAGATCAACTACTGGAGAGTTGTTTGATTTTTCTGTAAATAAAAATAATAAAATTATTGATAATACTAGTAGTGGCAGTGGTAGTAGTGCTTCGCAACAAGCACACAATTCACACCCAGATGCATATCATAAAAGTAGAATATTAGATGAAGAGATTGCTAAATCTAAAAGCTTAAAAGGCTTAACAAGTAATGATAGCTCGTTAAATAATCTTGATTTTAACTTTTTTCTCCAAAATGTCAACAAAGGTGAATAAAAATTTCATTATTAATCAATTGGAAAATTACTATCCATTAATTATTACTAATGATATTAATTAATTAATTAAATAATTATTAACATTAGATTCTAGTAATTATAGTAAAGAAAGAATTGATGAATGACTAATTTAATCTTCACTATAAATTATCTTTTTATTTTATCTTTATTTTGATTTCTTTGTTAAATTATAATAATATTTTGAAATAATAACTTTTTACAATTTTTTGTTTCTTGTTAAATGGTGACATTGTATCATCTTGGCCAATTAACAATTATGGCCTAATTTTTGGGCTACTCTTGTCAGTTAATTGCAAGCAACTCAGTAATTCGTTGTCAATTAATTAGTTTACAAATTTACTTTGGTCTCACATTTAATGGTAATTAAATAAATATAGCCTTTTAAAGTACTCTTGAGATTCTATAAAGTCCTTGTGATTTATTTATTTCAGTCGTTTACATTTATTGGCTGATTGCAAACTCACTTTGGTTTGATTGCAAAACAACTTAAGCAGCTTGTTTAACAGTCTTACACTACAATTACATTAATACTAACAGTATTTTCAATTAACCTTTGGACGATAATTTGTTAACACCCACTAGTTGACCAACCTTAGTCCAAACCTTTGCTCACTCACTAAAGCAAATTACGTTACTAATCGTTGTTAACGCTCACTAGTTTGATCAATGTCAGTCCTAACTTTATTTGCTTGCTCATTAAAGCAAATAAATGTGACTTTTACTAAAGTCCACAATTGTTACCTTTTACCAAAGCGCTAATTACACTTGTTACTTTTATCAAACAAAGAAAATAAAGACAATATTTTATTTTTATTTTATTTATTTTTAAAAGTTTGTTAACGATTGATTTTATTTAATGATTAAATCACAGAGTTTTTATTTTATTAGAACGTTAATTATCTATTGCGAAGGCTCAAAGTTATCCTTAATAAAATTTACTACAATAAGATAAAGATAAATATAAATATTATTATTGTATTGCAAAGTAACTTAATCAATCAATCTTTGATACTTGCACATAGTAATTTTATGATAATTATAAAAAGCTTTTTCGTAAAATTTTTCATCTTCAAAGTATAATAATAATTTTAAAATTAGTTGAAATGATTTTATCTACTCTGATATGTAAGAAAAATATAAAATAAAAATAGAAGGCATTGAAACATCTATTTTTATATTTAGTCGGCTTTTAAAATAATGTTTACTTGCGTAAAGTGTTTTACTTACGTCAAAGTTTTTATTTATGTCAAGGTTTTTACTTGCATCATTTGGAAACGAATTTTTACAACCTTGGTAACATATCGTCAAAACAACAATACTATCTAGTAATTATTATAATATTTTATATGGTTTGCTTACTTAAAAATAAAATACATTGAAATACAGTATAAGCCAATGCCTTAATTTTACAGTGAAACATTTTAGTCGCCTTTTGAGTTTGGGCGGGGTACTTCAAAACCCCGTCTGTATATTTGGATGCTTTGATAAAACAAATATACACGATAAACTAATCTCTATATACCTATTAAAATTTATCTTTATAGGCCCGTTTTTTTTTTTTTTGTAACATTGACTTCGGTTTAACGAGTTCTGACTGTGTTACCGTTTTTTTTTTTTTAAGATGCAAAAATCGAATTTTGGAAAAAGAAAAACATTAAAGTCAAAAGGCAAGAACTTTTTTATATTTATAAATAATAATTGAATTTATTATAATATTGTTATTGTTGATAAAATTTACATAAAATATACATATTTAAGGGTATTTTATCGTGAGTGTGCCTTCTAAACATGCTAAAACAGTTTTATCCTTGCTGACAACTGGATAACAAAATAGTAAATATTATTAATAACAAAGTCAGTTTCCAAGCAAAATTAAGATATAAACAAAACAATAGTGTTAGATGGGTATAACTTACTAGTAGCATTCATAAAATAATCAATAGTCACGCCCTTAGGTCGATGTGAGCTTTTTTCCACTTTCCATTCACGCGTTTTGTCAAAGTGACCTGCTGGAATTGGACATGGCTCGGCGGAGTTTATACAATAGTTAATTGAATGTGAAAATAAAAATATATTACTATCCTTTGAATAGATTTCTACATTTACTGTTGCTCCATCTTCAATCGGAACAGTGCTATCTCCTACGAAATGCTCAGTGACATTTTTACCAGGTTGCCATATTGCTGGAGTGTAACTCGCTTCAGTAAAAGTGATGGGATAGGTGCCTGCACATTGAGTATAGTTGCCAACGTTATCATCGGGAGCTCTTTTAGTGACCTCTCTGATTGGAATGTCAACGATATCACCAAGGGCTCTTTTAGTGAACTTTCTGATTGGATTTGGAATTGAAAATGAAGTGATTAGTGTAGCATAGAAGACGATTAAGATGAAAAAAATATTGATTTTATTCATGTTGGTTGTTATAGTTATTGTTTATTTGAATTTTAAGATTTATTTTTTTTTATTTTCTAATTCAATTGAATTTTCTCTTTATTTATAACAAAAAAAACTTCGTACTAGATCATTTTTCGTCCAAGAAGTTTTATTTTAACATCAATTTATCAATATTAGTAAATATAATACTAAAGAACTAATGGAACATTTATTTATTCTCATAAAAGTATTATTTATCTATATTTGTATTTTTCATTATATGATAAGTCCACGTGTTACAATAGAATTGTACAACTAGAAAATAGAATTTTATTTCTAAAAATGAAGATTCATTTTCAATTTAATTATTCAATTACAAATCAAATAATAATTCTATTAAACCTTTTACGGGCAAGATTTGTTTTAATAGACAACTGAAGATATACATACTCTCCTCTACTTTGTCTAGAAACTTTGACATTGGGTGAATTATCAATGGATGATTGATTTATTCTTTATTTTTTACTATTGTTTTTTTTTTTACGTCAACATCCCGTTCATATATATTTTTATTAGAATATTTTTAAAATAAATTGATTTACAATTAACTTTGTATGAATCCGTTCCTCTTGAAAGTAATTAAAACGACATTTCAGAAAGAACAGATATGCCAGACAATAATATATGTGAAGTTTATTCAATCAGTTTCAATTAAACAATTTAACTGCATCATAGAAATTGTTGACTGATCTGGATATTACATAGGGAGTAGAAAGTCGGAACCAATCTATTTACTAAATTTAAGTAAGAATTATTTAGATTAGAAGTTGGTATTGATTCTTTATTAATTACCATCACCACTTATTTCATATTTTAATAATGAAAAATAGCAAAAAAAAAAAAAAATTTATTAAAAAGAAAAAAAAAAGAAATAAAAAAAACTCTTATCATTTTTAATAGAAAATCTGTTTCCTTTTTCCAAGGGTTTCTATTTCAATAGGTCTAGGTCCTTCCCAGTTCCTCATCAAAACTCCCAAAGAATTGTCAGAAATAGTAGCACTACTTTCAAAAATTATGCTATTCAAATTTTTTGGTGAAGTTTGATTTAAAATTTCTAAAATTTTATCACCATTTATTGTATAATTTCGAGCCCTGTTATAAAATCCAATGCTTTTCAATTTAGTGCAATTATTGAATATGTGTACAAGTTGTTGATATACTTCATTCTTATATACAATTGTTAAATGTTCTAATTTTCGACATTTTTGAGCAACAGTTCGAATCATTTCCTTCAAAAGATGTTGAAGTGGATGATCACCTATAATATATAACCTTCTAAGATTTACTCCATTGTCTTTAATAAATTTTGATGCAGAAATCGATAACTTCATTCCTTCAATACATGGAAGTATAATGGACTTTTTAGTTGGCATTTTATTTCTTTTGCATGTTAAATTTAATATTTTTAAATTTTTAAATGTTGGTATTAAAGTGTCCAAATCATTTGTCTTGCCACAACTTTCATAATTAATTATTGATTGCGAATGAATCGAAATTGCCTTTTTGAGATTATCTGATAAATTTAATCTCTTCTTTGAGGTGATGG